TTTTTACTTTTCAATTATAGTTAACGTATCATATTATATTAGTCTCAGGTGTACAACATAGCGATGAGACATTTATGTACCTTACAAAAGGATCACCCCATACGTCTAGGACTCACCTGGCGCCATACATAGTTCCTCCCGTATTCCTGACTATATTCCCTATTCTGTACTTTACATGCCCCAGCTCTCATTTTTTTAAAAAAAAACTCCTTTCTTGAGATATCATTCAAATATCATACAAACCACCCACAGAGTAAATAATTCAATGGATTTTAGAATATCCGCAGATAATGTGTAACCCTCATATAACATTTTCATTGCCTCCAAAAGACACCCACAGCCAGCAGCTCTCACCTCGTACCCCGCCCCAGTCCCTGCCCAAAGCAACCCCCAATCTACTTTCTGTCTCTATAGATTTGCCTATCCCGATCGTTCAATTTAAACGAAATCACAGAACGCGCCGCCTTCTTTAACCGGCTTCCACCGCTGAGACGATGTTGTTCACGTCCGTCGGTGTCGTCGCACGGTCGGAACTTTACCCCTCCCCATCGCCAGCTGGCATTCCGTGTGCGGAATGTTCACTCATTCACCCGTTGACGGACACTCGGGTGGCCACAAACATCCAGGTACGAGTTTCTCTGTGCGCACACATGTTCGTATTTCTCGGATATTTACCTAGGAGTGGAATTTCTGGACCATATGGTGATTCTAGGTGTAATTCTTTGAGGACCCGCCCCCAAGCTGTTTTCCAAAGTAGCTGCACCACGTACGACCCCGCCAGCGGTGGGTGAGGGTCTTGGTACCCTCCGCTTCTTCACCTACCCTTGTCTGACTCCGATGCCAGCCCACCTCGTGGGTGCGAAGTAGAATTTCATCGCGATTTTTATCTGCCTTTCCTCGATGACTCATGTAGAGCATCTTTTCATGTGCTTCTTGTTCACCTGCCAATCTTCTAGATTCTCCTGTGGATTTTCTTTTCACTTTCTCGATGGTGTCCTTTGAAGTCCACAAGTTTGTAATTCTGATGAAATTCAATCTATTTTTTTTTTTCTTTAGTTGTTCTGCTTTTGGGTCCCAGCTAAGAATCCTTCGCCAGATCCCTGGTCAAGAAGATCTACTCCCATGTTTTCTCCTGAAGAGTTCTACGGTTTGGTCTTTCATATTTAGGTCTTTGATCCATTTTGAGCTAATTTTTGCGTCTAGCATAAGCGAAGGGTCAAACTTCACTCTTTTGCGTGTGGTTTCTTTCTCTTTTAATCTTTACAAGTAACTTCTCCCAGTCTGTCCTCGCTCCATTAACTGGGTTACGACGTCCTTCCTGGAACAGAAGCAGACCGCACTTCTCAATGTCAAGTTGTTCCTAAGACTCTATTCACACCCAAACCTCATCAAGTCTCCGTGGAGCTGGGGAGGCCGTGACCGAGACGAACCATCTCTCAGTACTCGGGTGAGAGACATAAGTGACATCACTGTAGCCATCACCCTTTCCACGTTGAAAGCCGATCGCCTTCCTTGGAGACCCCAAAGGCCTTCTGGAGTTGCAAACGAGTCTCCAGCTGACCATTTTTTTCTCTCCTTCTTTTATCTGGCTGCCAATAAATGTCGAAATCGCTTGCAGTGCAAGCAGCGGAAAGTGAATGACGAGAAATACAAAAGTCATATAAGAACAAAAGAATAAGCCTCCGCGTCCAGTGAGTGGTAAATCCCGCACGTCCAGCGCGGCCGTGGAAAACAAACCTGAGTGGGAACGATGGGAGGTTGAGAAAGGAAAGAAAGCTGGGGCCGGCAGGTCCACGGTGCCCTGATGGCGGAGCAGCGGCCGAGATTTATTTTCGCAAGCTGCTTTTATCCAAGAGCACACAATTGCTAAAAGGAGATCATCCCCACCCACCCACACCGTGCTGTGATCTTCTGCATTTCCATCCGCCCGAGGCCACGGGCACATTCCCTGCCTCGAGCGGCACCTGCATTGTTCCCTGCTCACTTTAGTTGGTACTTCCCCATTCTCAGGAGGTTTGGGAGAGATAAGGCAGCCCTTGGTTGACGTCACAGATTGCAAAGACCTTGTCGACTTTTAACCCGCTCTCCATAAGACGCGGTCAAGAATTTAGATCTTTGATCCACCTGCTCTTCAGGAGGGTAATGACCTCTTGGTTCTTTGCTCCGAGCCAAGGACGACTCTTCCTGACACTGCTTTCCCTCCCTTGCCCAAGTTTGCCCTTGTCACCTAACTCAGCCATGTTAGTACGTAGTGTCCCCTCCCTGCACAGGTGCCTCCCTCTCCCTCTCCTCGTCTCCGGGGCATCAGCCACAGCCATCCTGACAGTCCACTCCTCCCTCCTTTCTGAATCCTGCCAGAGATGCTAATAAAGCTGGTAGAGTCTCAGGGCCACAGCTTCACTCCCCCAGGCTGTTCTGTCTACTGCTCTCCCTGCCACACGTGGCTCAAGTGCCCGGTATCTGACGCTGGCGTCGGTGTCTGCCAGCCTCTGCCAGCCTCTGCCTCTGCCCGCATAGCTGCTTCGGCCCAGACTACTTGCTAGTAAATGCCCCCTCGTCTCTGTCTCCAGCCTCTGAAACTCACCATGCACTTTAACAGATTATGGCACCGCAGAGCCTGTACGTGACAGGGACTACCGCAGACAGACCTCACGGAAGAGGCCACTGTGGCCGGAGGAACGGCAGGAAACAGATCTAGGATGTGTGCGTTGTTGGGAAAAACAGAACGTGAACCCCACTGCTGAAGCGGGGGGCTGGGGGCTTACAAACGTGGGTACGTAGAGAGGTGACCGAGCCCCACGCGCATGCCCGTAGGTCCCCACCTTGGTCAGCCCATGCCTCACCCTGGCCCTGCCCCCAGGGCGGGGTCTGACAGAGCCATAAAGCTCCAGAAGGAGTCCCAGCAAAGGCAAGCAGCAGAGGGGAGCGGAGCAGAGCACGCAGGTACGGTCCGATGGCTGAAGCAGGCAGGGCTGAGGAGGGGCTGCCTGGTGGGAGAGGGAGGAAGGGCCCCGAGAGAGGGGCCGGGAGGAACAAAGCCTCAAGAGGGCCAGGAAGCAAGGGGCAAACCACCCGCGGGCGAGATCGGACGGGCGCACAGAGGCGGGCGCTGTCTGTCCTCCACTGGAGAAGCCGCGCCTCGCGTCCCCGGGCGTGGAGGTCACACCGGCCACCTAGCTCTCTCCCTTCTCCCGTGGCTTCGCTGCCATCGCCCACTCACTGGCTGCCCACTTGGACACTGCACAGAGGAGTGAGGAAAGAAGGTAAAGCTTAAAAACAATAGGCCAGTCATCTCCCTCCTTATCAGAGCAGAAAGCAACCTGAGGCTGAGCAGTTATGAGAAAAAAAGACGCAGGGGGACTTCGTGTGGGCGTCCGCGTGGACGGAGCCGGTCTGAAGGGGCCGCACACCGTGCGAGCCCGGCCGCATGACGTTCTGGGGAAGGCAGACCTGCAGGGACCGGGAACGGTCAGGGGTGTCCGGGGTCCAGGGGGCAGGGAGGATGCAGAGCCGAGCACAGCGGACTGTCAGGGCAGGGCACACACCCCGAGCGATACGGTGACGGTGGTGACATGTCGTCCCGCATTTGTCCAGACCCGCAGATTGCGCAACACCCCGTGGGCCCTAAGGTAAACTATGGCAGACTCTGGTGACAGTGACGTGTCAACGTGGGCTCCCAGATGTAACGAATGTCCCACTCTGGCTCAGGACGTCTGTGTGGGCGGGGGCGGGGACAGGTGTGGCAGGGGCTCTATGGGAAATCTCTCTACCTTCTGCTCCATTTTGCTATGAATCTGGAATGGCTCTAAAAAGTAAAGTCTATTTAAAATAAACAAAGGAGGCTCAGCCGAAATGTAGTAGTCAAAGAAGAGCTCGCCCCTTATCCTTCTGCTGGCCCTGGATTTGCCCCGCGACCCCTTCAGGCTGGAGAGCACAAGGTCAAGTGAGTCCCCCAGGGGCCAGGGGGACAGGACGAGGCCACCAGACGGGAGGATATTGGCCACTCTGGGGGGTGGGCTATGAGGTGAAGACCCTGACGGCACCATCCCCCCAAACTAGAAAGGACAAGGGCGTCTCCCCAAATCCCACCTGGGCCGGCCCCACTCTGGGGTGTCATGGATCGTCAACCAGCCGACACCCGAGTGCCCCACCCGAGGGGCCAAAGAATCCCAGGGCAGGACCGGCCACCCCGTCCTCACCCGCAAAGCCACAGGTCGACAGCCCAATCACGGTCAGATGACTCTACGTCGCTCAAACTTTAAATGTGCCGGTCCACAGAGTGGACAATGCCAGGGCCTTGACCGGACGAGCAGCTGGTGACTGTCGAGAGCTTCCCAGGAGGTGGGCGCTGCTCTGAACACTTCATCCCGTTGTCCGGTTGGTTTCTGCCGATAGGAGGTAGGTATGGTGGATGCTGCCATTACACAGCTGAGAACATGGAGGCCCAGAGAGCTCGAGCAACCTGCCCAAGGTCACACAGCTGGCCCTCGTGGTGGGACGCGCTGACTAGCACGTGGACCCGGGCAGTCTGACTCCAGAGTTGAGTCTTTGAACCTCTACGCTACATTTCGAATGTTATCTACATGAAAAATACGATTGCACCAAAAACATAGTTTTGCTGTCAGTGCAAGAAATGTCTATCCAAAACCTGTAGATAATTTGTATAAGAGTTTATCTGAGCCCAAACGGATGGCAATCGCCAGGCAGCGAGACCTCAGATGCTTCTAGAATGATAGTCTGCAGTTTCTGTGCTGCGTTTGGAATTGACAGAGACTACAGGGAGGTGGGGGAAAGCCAGGCAGGGATGGGATTATGGGACAAATAACCAGACGACATGCTCTCTCCAGGGCGGTTACTCCTACAAGGTGGGGACAGGTGGGGAAGCTGTGTCGGTAGGAAAACCACGGGGCCAAGGGACACGGCAGGCCCAGGCCCCGCCTGGCGGAAACTGATGTCCTCCCGTGAAACAACTCGGTTCATCTCTTCTGCATTCCAGAGCCATGAGGAGAGAGATCTCGGCCCTCGGCTGGGCCGTCGCTGCCATCCTGATGCTACAGGCGACGGTCACGGCCAATCGGCCCCCACGGAGCCCGCACAGCAAGTCCAGCGTGTTTGCAGACCTGAGCGCCCAAGAGCTGAAGACCGTGCGCAGCTTCCTCTGGGCCCGCAAGGAGCTGAGGCTGCAGCCGTCCAGAGCATCGGCCATCGCCAAGAACTCCGTGTTCCTCATCGAGATGCTGCTGCCCAAGAAGCACCAAGTGCTGAAATACCTGGACAATGGTCAAAGGCGCCCCGTGCGGGAGGCGCGTGCCATCATCTTCTTCGGGGACCAGGAGCACCCCAACGTCACCGAGTTCGCTGTGGGGCCCCTGCCACGGCCCCGCTACATGCGCGAGCTGTCCCCCAGGCCCAGGCGCCGGATCTCCTGGGCCTCCAGGCCCATGTCCTCGGCGGAGTACGCCCAAATAAGCCACGCCCTGCAAGAGGCCACCAAGCCCCTGCGCCAATTTTTCCTCGATACCACGGGTTTCTCCTTCCACGACTGCCACACCCGGTGCCTGACCTTCACGGATTCGGCGCCCCGGGGTTTGGCCTCGGGTCAGCGTCGCAGCTGGTTCATCTTCCAGCTCTACGTGGAAGGCCACTTCCTGCACCCCACCGGCCTGGAGCTCTGCATGGACCACGGAAGCACGAACCCCCAGGATTGGACGGTGGAGCACGTCTGGTACAACGGGAAGTTCTACCGGAGCCCGGAAGAACTGGCACGGAAGTACAGTGACGGAGAGGTGGACGCGGTGGTCCTGGGGGACCCCCGCCCCTGGGGCAAGGGGGCGGAGCGCATGGAGGAGCCCGCCCTCTTCTCCTCCTACAGGCCCCGCGGGGACTTCTCCAGCCCCGTCACCGACAGCGTGCACGGGCCCCGCCTGGTCCAGCCCCAAGGCCCCCGCTACCGGCTGGAGGGCCACGCCGTGCTCTACGGGGACTGGAGCTTCGCCTTCCGCCTGCGGCCCACCACGGGCCTGCAGGTCCTGAACCTGCTCTTCCGCGGGGAGCGCGTGGCCTACGAGGTGAGCGTGCAGGAGGTGCTGGTGCTGTACGGAGGCCACACGCCGGCCGGCATGCAGACCAAGTACTTGGACGGGGGCTGGGGCCTGGGCACCTTATCCCACGAGCTGGCCCCTGGCCTCGACTGCCCGGAGACCGCCACCTTCCTGGACGCCGTGCACCACTTCGACGCCGACGACCCCATCCTCTACCCCCGCGCCCTCTGCCTCTTCGAGATGCCCACGGGGGTGCCCCTCCGGCGGCATTTTAATTCCAACTTCAGCGGGGGCTTCAACTTCTACGCGGGGCTCGAGGGCCAGGTGCTGGTGTTGCGGACGACCTCCACGGTCTACAACTACGACTACATCTGGGACTTCATCTTCTACCCCAGCGGGGTGATGGAGGCCAAGGTGCACGCCACCGGCTACGTCTTCGCCACCTTCTACACCCCCGAGGGGCTGCGGCACGGGTCCCGCTTGCACACGCACCTGCTCGGCAACATGCACACGCACCTGGTGCACTACCGCGTCGACCTGGACGTGGCAGGTGGGGCCTGGCTGGGAAGGACGCTCGCGGCCAGACAGCCGCCTCGGGGCGCACACTCCCATGAGCCCGAGGGGCTGCGGTGCGCATGGCCCTGGGAGGCGGTGATGCGGCCGGCGCCCTGGGGCTGCCCTGGCTGCGGCAGCGGGGGCGTGGGGGGGCCTCACTGACCCCCTAGAGGGGCGGGGTGGCCGGGAGGGCGCGATCAGGGCAGCGGAGGGAACCATGCCCAGCAAGGTGGGAAAGGTCACTGCCGCCTCGTACTCCGAGGTGAGTGCCGTGTCGCCGCGGAGTACTCACTGTATCTCGGATCACTGGGGTCACCACGGCACAGGAGTAATGACAGGATTTGGCCTGGCGTCAAATGCCACGTCAGAACAAGCCCCCACGACCAGACAGGTGGCCTCCCGTCCCCCGCCCCCACCCTCTCCAACCCGCTCAGCCCCATTTGCTCCCCCGCCCCCACCCAGGCACAGAGGGCCACAGTGCCTGGGGAAAGAGGGGTGGCCCCTCCTCTGGGACTTCAGCCGCAGCCTACAGGCTTGGGGAACGGGTCGCTAGAAGAATTGCCCAGAGACACAACACAATCACCGCAGCCACCGTGACCGTGTCGCCTTCTGTTCCTCTGCTGTTTTTCATGTTTGGTCCCTTCCTGCCACCCCATAGCCAGCTCTGTGTGCTCTCCCAACATGCCCTTCCCCCCACCCCCACCCTGCCATGCCTGGCGGCTGGACGTGGCCTGGGGCGGAGACCCAGCACGGGAGGAGGGGGCTCAGCTCAGGGGGCTGACTCTCACGCTCCGTCTCCCTTCACACCCGCAGGCACCAAGAATGGCTTCCAGACCCTGCCACACCCGGGGGCTGCCCTGGCTGCGGCAGCGGGGGGGTCATCACTGACCCCCTAGAGGGGCGGGGTGGCCGGGAGGGCGCGATCAGGGCAGCGGAGGGAACCATGCCCAGCAAGGTGGGAAAGGTCACTGCCGCCTCGTACTCCGAGGTGAGTGCCGTGTCGCCGCGGAGTACTCACTGTATCTCGGATCACTGGGGTCACCACGGCACAGGAGTAATGACAGGATTTGGCCTGGCGTCAAATGCCACGTCAGAACAAGCCCCCACGACCAGACAGGTGGCCTCCCGTCCCCCGCCCCCACCCTCTCCAACCCGCTCAGCCCCATTTGCTCCCCCGCCCCCACCCAGGCACAGTGGTGCCTGGGGAAAGAGGGGTGGCCCCTCCTCCGGGACTTCAGCCGCAGCCCACAGGCTTGGGGAACGGGTCGCTAGAGGAATTGCCCAGAGACACAACACAATCACCGCAGCCACCGTGACTGTGTCGCCTTCTGTTCCTCTGCTGTTTTTCATGTTTGGTCCCTTCCTGCCACCCCACAGCCGGCTCTGTGTGCTCTCCCAACATGCCCTTCCCCCCACCCCCACCCTGCCATGCCTGGCGGCTGGACGTGGCCTGGGGCGGAGACCCAGCACGGGAGGAGGGGGCTCAGCTCAGGGGGCTGACTCTCACGCTCCGTCTCCCTGCACACCCGCAGGCACCAAGAATGGCTTCCAGACCCTGCAGATGAAGCTAGAAAACATCACCAACCCCTGGAGCCCGACGCACCGCCTGGTGCAGCCGACCCTAGAGCAGACCAAGTACCCCAGGGAGCGCCAGGCGGCCTTCCGCTTCGGACGGCCTCTGCCCAGCTACCTGCTCTTCTCCAGCCCCCAGACGAACCCCTGGGGCCACACGCGCACCTACCGCCTGCAGATCCACTCCATGGCCGAGCAAGTCCTGCCCCCTGGCTGGCAGGAGGAGAGGGGTATCACCTGGGCCAGGTGAGGAGGCCCTGGAGGATGAGGAGGGCCAGAGGCTCAGTACCCGTGTGTGTCTGTGTTTCTGTCTCTGAGACTTTGCATCTGTGTCCTGCTATATCTGGGTGTGTGTGCACGTGTGTGCATGTGTGTGTGTTCTGGGGTGTGGCTCTGTGTTTGGGGAGGGCAAGTGGGGAGGGCCCGTTCTGAACCCCTGAGCCCCGGCTGACCGTCGGTCAGTCTGACGGACTCCCAGGAGATGATCTTGAAATTAGGGGAAAGTTACTGACCCTGAAGATCTTCCTTGGGAGGGGCTGGGAGGCCCTCCAGCACCGAGCCACCTGGCTTCTCCGCCCGGCAGGTACCCCTTGGCGGTGACCAAGTACCGGGAGTCTGAGCTACGCAGCAGCAGCCTCTACAACCAGAACGACCCCTGGGACCCGCCGGTGGTCTTCGAGGATTTCCTTCGCAACAACGAGAACATCGAAGATGAGGTGCGGGCCCCGCCTCCCTCCAGCCCCAGCCCAAGACCGGATCTGGGCCCAGTCCCAGGGTCCGTGCCCACTGGTGGCTTGCTGTGTGGACCACCAGCCCGGTGGTCATCAGATCTGTTCATTCCTTAAAAACGAGGCTCCAGGGGGTTACCCGCCCGTCTCCTCTGAGCCCCCTCAGCACTGCCCACCCCTCTCTCCCACAGGACTTGGTGGCCTGGGTGACAGTGGGCTTCTTGCACATCCCCCACTCAGAGGACATCCCCAACACGGCCACGCCGGGAAACTCCGTGGGCTTCCTGCTCCGACCCTTCAACTTCTTCCCAGAGGACCCGTCCCTGGCGTCCAGAGACACGGTGATCGTGTGGCCTCGGGATAACGGCTCCAATTACGTCCAGCGCTGGATTCCTGAGGAGGACGGGGACTGCTTGATGCCCCGCCCCTTTAGCTACAATGGGACCTACGGGCCCGTGTGAAGGGTCCCTTGCCCCCAGCGAGCTCCTACCCAGACATCTGAACTCCCACCCCCACCCCGGGGCGGATAATAAACCCCTCAGGGCTTAGCTCCCAGTGCTGCTTCTTGTGGGGGGAGGCAGGGCTGGCGAGGCCACACACCAGGCCATGAGTGTAGAACACACACCAGTGAGAAAGCACATGACCTTGGCCTCGCACCTCGGCCTATTCCACCCCAGAAAAGACCTCTGTGACGAAGCAACGGCACCCACCTGAACACCAGATTGACCTCTTGGGTCGATTTTAAAAATCTGAGGCTGACAGCTCCCACTTGGGAGTCTGTGGGGGAATCCCCAGGTCGCTGATGGGCACGCAAGCCCAGGAAGGCACCGTGGAAAAATCTAGCAAAGTTGCCAACACCTTTACCCTTTGACGCCCTGATCCAATTTGTAGGGATTTACCCCAGAGCTCTACCTACCCGCACAGAAAACCAGACGCCTGCAGCGACTCGCTGTGGTGCTGTTTCTAACACCGAAAGTCTGGGAACAACCCAAACGCACACCTGTGGGACAGATCCTAGACCTGCAACTCTGAATAAACTGGGACACATCCGCACGGCGCAATTCTAGGTGATCGTAAAAGAAATGAATGGAAGAGGACGTTCTCTGTGCTGACAGGAAAACCCCTCGGGACACACTAAGGAAGAAAAGAAAGTTAGGATGGGCCGATATATATATTTACTTATCAATATATACATTTACCTTCATTTATAAAAACCCTAGAAAGACACACAAGATACTAACAAAATCGGTCGCATTGTCTTAGTCTCTTCCAGCAGCTGTAACAAAGTACCACACACCGGGTGGCTGAAAAACAGAAGTTTATTGCTCACCGTTCTGGAAGCCGGAGGTCCAAGGTGCCATCTTCCGGGTCATAGACTTCTGAAATGTGGCTGTGTCCTCACAAGTCTGAGGGGTGAGGGATCTGTCTGGACCCTTATAAGGGCGTTAATCCTGAGGTGGAGGGTGGAGGGTGGAGGCTCCGCCCTCGTAACATAAGCCCCTCCCAAAGCCCCGCCTCCGACTACCAGCCCAGTCCATCTTTTCATTGTCAGATCCTGTGCTGCCCTTCATGGGCACTCGGCTGTGTGTGTTGAGTGACTGAGTGACCGACAGCTTAGGGCATGCAAATTCCAAATTACATCTTCTCGTCATACCCTCCCTCAGCCCACCTTGTCGGTGTTTGTCCCTTCGCTTTAATTGTGACTTCGGCCATTCCCTTGGCAAGACAGCGCCACCTCCCCGCCTAATGAGATGGCAAGAGAACCTGAGCCTCACCCTTGAGAGAGCAGCCCCCCAAACCCCAGAGACTGCGCTTTCCTCTCTCACAAGCTCCGGGTCCCTGGCGATCCTCACAGGTGACCACTTTCCAACCCCCTCCCCTCTATCCCTGGCGTCTGCCTCCCAGCATGTCTCTCGTTGCTCCTCCTTGCTGTAAGCATGATGCACGCCCCAGAGCGTGACTGACCAAGGAAACAAAGGTGAAGAAGATACAGCCCCATCCTTGAGACGTCCATGGTCACGCGGGGGAGACAGGCCACCGAGACTGCGCACTGCAGCCTCAGGGGGCTACGCTGCAGCCCTCAGATGATCGTCTTGTTTTAAAGACCAGAAGTCTGGTCTGACCCTAGACCTGCAAGTGGCCCCAAGTAATGTCATCCCAGCGTGGCCTTTGTGAACACGTTTGCCAACAGTTCATGTGTCACCCAGCATTCTCGAGTGTGCAGCATCCAGCGGGGGGAAAGTAGCCCCATCGTCAGGCCCCCTCAGGTGAACAGAGCGTGTCCCCACCCAAGCCTCTGCCCTGACTCAAGATGGGGAGGCCCCGGGACCCTCATGACCAGCCTGCCCGATCCTCTAAAACATAAGTGCCCCCGAGAAGCCCCACATCCAGTCAGAGGGTCCGGCCCACCCAGCCGGCCAAGGGACCAAAACTTCCTGACAGTGACTTCCCAGCTGGGCCTAAAGTTGCCATAAAGAGAACAAGGGTGCCATGGCCGGAGGAGCCAGCAAGGAGGGCACCAAACACAAAACCCTAGGGTTCTCGTTGGTTCGCCAAGACCGTGCTGGTGGCCTTTGCCTTCACCTCCGTGTTGCCCTGTGGACCGCGTCTCTACTGCCAGTCCCTCTGCCTCTGGGGCCCTCAAACCTTCCCCCTCGCCTTACACACCCTCCAGAACCAGCCAGCTGTCCTTTCTAACATGTCACAGCTCTCAGCTTATCCCCGGCCCAGCCGCTTGGCCTGCTGGGGACTACTGTCCACCAGCCGCGGCAACAGAATTTGTGGGCCCCAAATGAAAATGCAGGCTCCTGGCTCAAAAGTTAAGAATTTCAAGACGATGATGACAGAGAGTTAAACTGAGCGCAGAGCCCCCCAGACAAGGCCACATGCCCACGTGGCCAGTCCCTGTGCCTGCACCCACAGTTCACCCCGGCCATTCCCCAGAGCGGCAGGCTGCTTCCTGGGCTGTTTTAGCGGCGACGTAACATGTGATCTTCAAAGCATTTCCGCCTTTCTAAAGGAAATAAATATGTATTAAGTCACTATGCCCGTCGCCATACTATTTCAACGGAACTGAAGCTTATGCGAAACGTAGCAATGACACACTTCACCCTAAGTTACCATGGGAGTGAACTTTTTTTGCTAAAAAGACATGACTAGGTTAAGGTTGTTCTCAAGAGGAGGTTCCTCAGGGACTAATCCTAAACTCCGAGCCAGCGACGGCACATATATTAATCGTCTCATTAATCTCGCCTCTTAAATTTGCTCTGCTCTTCCGGTCAGGGCGAGATGTTTGTAATTTGTCCCCGCACGGGTGATAAGTGACCTGCTCTTCCGCACTGCGTGATCCTCCATCCTGGAGCCACTTGCAAATCCACATCCCATTCTCTCACATTTCTAATACATATTTTTAAAAGATGGATAAAACAAAACATGACCAGCAATCACACTCTTGGGCATTTAGCAAACCGACGGTCACACGGAGGCCTGTACGCTGACGTTCACGGCAGATTTATTCATCATAGCAGACAGGAAACGACCCAAATGTCTCTCAGCGGAGAAGCCATTGAACAAGCTCTGGTACAAGCGAGCACCAGTCAGCAGCGAAAAGGAACAGACAGCCAAGGCAGGCAACAGCCCGCGTGGACCGCAACAAGCATCACGCTTAGTGCGGAGAAGAAGTCGGTCGCAAGCGATCACATCCAGGATGAGTTCATTCAGATGGCGGGAGTGAAGTGGGGGGTGTGAACGGGAGAGGCGGGTGATGGGGCGATTCTTGATCTTGAATGCAGTGGTGGTCACACAAGTCTACACCGCAGATTACATGGTGGAAACTGAGCAACTTCTGTAGTCGAGTTAACAGTAGTGTACCAATGTCAAGGTGCTGGTTGTGATGTCGAACCACAGCTACATAAGATGTTCCCATTGGGGAAATCGGGGCGAGGGGTCTTTGGACTCTTGGTGCTACTTCCACTATCCATCGTGAGTTTATAATTATTTCAAAATAAAAGCCTTTGAATAAATATACACATATCAAGCCTCAAGCATAGGATAGTAAAACTCTTGTTTCTTGTCCAGGCTCCTTATGCATTTATCCGTAAAGTGTTTGAAAAAGGTACCAAACTCACAGAAACAGAGGATAGAGTGGTGGTTACAAAAAACCCATAGCAAGCTCATAGAAAAAGAGGTCAGATTTGTGGTTACCAGAGGTAGGAGGTAGGGGAAGGAGAATTGGAGGAAGGGAGTCAAAAGGCACAAACTTCCAGTTATGAGATGGACGAGTTCCGGGGAAGTGCCCCGCAGCATGGTGACTGCAGTTAACAACACTGTATTACATATTTGAAAGTTGCTAGGGGGGTAAATCTTAAAAGGTCCTATCACAAGAAAAAAAATGTAACTGTGTGAGGAGGTGGATATTAACTAAACTTATTGTGGTGATCGCTTTGCAATATATACACGTCTCGAATATTCACGTCATACACCTAAAATGAATACAATGTTGCATGTCAGTTACATCTCAATAAAACTGGGAGAACTTAACACTTAAAAAAGAAAGAAATTAACACTTAGAAATGAACAAATCTTGCCGTGGGGACACTGCACCAACTTTCAACTTCCAAATTCAAGAGCTGGATCATAAGAACAAAACACTGCATCTAAGTCATCCAGCAATGGCTATTTTACTAAAAATAACAAAGACCATGCAGAAGGAAAGAGAGAAAAAAGCATTATTAAAATCGCAGGCATGGAATAACCATATCTTATAAGAACACATAGAAATTCAAAGGTATGTGTCAAATTTAAAAAGGAGGCTCAGACTGTTCCTATGCTTGTTTCCTCATCGTCCCCGTGCCCTGCCCTAACCGGGGCTTTTCCGGCCGGGCCCGCCCCGAAGACCGACTCGGTCCCTGCTCCCCTTTTTAGCTTCTCTGGCGCGAAGAGCGCGGAATTTTTCCGGCGCCGGCGCCCGCTGGGCGCTAGGTGGCGCCGCTGCGCTTCTGCGACCCCCGTGCGGAAGGTTCGCGCCAGATCCAAGGCTCCGGGGCTGTCGCGCTGTTCGCGCCACTGGGTATCACTCAGTGCGGGGTTCAGACACGTGCACCTGGCGAGGGCTGGGAGGGATGGAAGGCTACAGACCGAGTGGCCAGAGGCCTGCCTTCCTGCAGGGAGTGTCTTCTCCAAAGCCCCAGGTATTGACATGATTTTTTTGTTTTTTTTTTGTTTTTTTTTTTTAAACATAGCAAATAGGTTTTATTTGTCAGCAGAAAAATCTGAATTTTAAGCAGATAGGTGAACTGGGGGCTCGTATCCATCAGCTCATTCAGCTTCAGCACCTGTCTCGTCCCCAGTAGCTTCTCCAGAACTGCGACCCTCACCATGAAGCTCCATGAGTTTTCCCAGCTCACACTTGGGCTTCTTCAGCATTTCGATTTTTCTAACAAAAACATCATGGAGAGGATAA